TATAGACCGAGGAGAGGGATAACTGGGTCAAATGGTGGTTCCATTCTCAGTTTTCCAAGGAATATCCATACTGCTTTCCAGACTGGTTGTACCAATTTGCAGTCCCACCAGCAATGTAAGAGTGTGCCCTTTGCCCCACATCCTCGCCAACAATTATTGTTGTTTGTATTCTTGATGATTGCCATTCTGACTGTAGTGAGATGAAATCTTAGCGTCGTTTTGATTTTCATTTCTCTAATTGCAAGAGATGTTGAACATTTTTTCATATATTTGTTGATTGATTATATGTCCTCTTTTGAGAAGAAAATTCAAAGATTTTTGAATTCTTTATATATCCTAGAGATTAGTGCTCTGTGTGATAAAAATTTGCTCCCATTCTGTAGGTTCTTTATTTGCTTCACTGTTTCTTTACTGAGAAGTTTTTGAGTTTGAATCTATCCCATTTATTAATACTTGATTTTAATTCTTGCACCATAGGAGTCTTATTAAGGAAGTCAGGGCCTAATCTGACATGTTGGATATTTGGGCCTACTTTTTCTTCTATTAGGTGCAGGGTCTCTGGTTTAATTCCTAGGTCCTTGATCCACTTTGAGTTTTGTGCACGGGGAAAGATAGGGGCTTAATTTCATTTTGTTGTATAGGGATTTCCAGTTTTCCCAGCACCATTTGTTGAAGAGGCTATCTTTTCTCCAATGTATGTTTTTGGAGCCTTTTGGAAATCAATCAATGTAATTCATCACATTAACAAACTTACAGATAAGATCATGTCAATAGATGTAGAAAAAACATTCGATAAAATATAGCACCCCTTCATGTTCAAAACACTAGAAAAACAAGGGATATCTCAACATTGTAAAAGCTATCTATGCTAAGTCCCAGGCAAACATCATTCTAAAAGGAGAAAAATTGAAAGCATTCCCTTTAAAAACTGGAACAATACAGGGATACCCTCTTACACCACTTCTATTTAACATAGTTCTTGAAATTCTAGCCAGAGCAATTAGACAGACGAAAGAAATTAAAGGGATAAGGATAGGAAGATAAGAATTCAAATTAGCACTATTTGCTGATGATATGATTTTACACGTAAAAGACCAAAAAATTTCACCAGAAAACTTCTAGAATTAGTACATGAATTCAGCAAAGTAGCAGGATATAAAATCAACACCCATAAATCAAAGGCATTTCTATATATCAGTGACAAATCCTCTGAAAGTGAAACAAGGAAAACTACTCCATTTACAATAGCCTCAAAACAAACAAACAAAAAAACTTGGTAATCAACTTACCAAAGAAATGAAAGACATGTACAATAAAAATACAGAATGCTAAAGAAAGAAATTAAAGAAGACCTTACATCTCCCTTGTTCTTGGATAGGCAGAATTACTATTGTCAAAATGACCATACTACCAAAAGCACTATATTTAATTCAATTCCAATCAAAATCCCAATGACATTTACAAATAAAAAAAAATCATGAAATTCATCTGGAAAAATAAGAGATCCAGAATAGCTCAAGCAATCCTTAGCAAGAAGAGCGAAGCAGGTGGCATTACTATACCAGACCTTAAACTATACTACAGGGCAATAATAACAAACACAGTGTGGTATTGGCACCAAAATAGATTGGTAGACCAATGATACAGAATAGAGGAAACAGAGACGAACCCACATAAATAAGGCTATATTAGACAAAGGAAATAATATTATTGTAAGTTTTATTATTACTACTTTTATAATATTGTTACTGATAATAATCCTATTTACAAATATCCTAATGAGATCTTAATGAGATAGAAATTTTGGGATACACAAAGAACACTAAGTCTCTGAAGGAAAAAATATTTCCATTAACAAACAACTCATGATCCAGACAAAGGCGGCTAAAAAAAAGTAAGGGTACACTAAAAAGCCCATAAATTACTTTGTAACTTTCTGATTCTTTATAAGTTTTTTGGAATATAGCAAAACAGGAACAAGACAATTAGAAAGAGACTATTAACTTTGTGAATCTTGAGGCTAACATTTGATTGAATCATGACACTTTTTCCCAGCCATCTGATTGACTACCCAATTGCCACAGGCAGTGATATAAGATGAAACTTTCATACCAGACCAGATCCTCTAGCGGAGAAACATGGTTTCAATCAATATTTACCAGCTGTGAGATTCCCAGTCTTTCAGTTTACATATTCAACCTAATAATGTACCCTAATTTAGTAAAAACTTGACCTTAGGCCATGGCTGCACATCTTACTCTTGAGATTGCCCACACACTGACAGTGTAGATTTTCTCCTTCCTAAAACAGCATTTCTTGGTTAGACTGATTCGTCCTTAAATTCTTTTCTGTGATGGAGTCAAGAACCTGGAAGTTTCAAATAGAGGTCTCCTTTGTTTCTGGAAATCTTGAACCCCCATACAGTAGACACTAGGAGCTACGTGATATATAAAAAGTCAAGCACTGCTATGTAGATATTTTCATAACTTTAGCATTCATAAGATCTATATGGAGTTTTAATGTTCATAGGATTCATGAGGAGGTTTTCAAGGTGCATTTTTCAGACTGAAGGGTAGAATCTGAAGGGAAATAGAGGAAAAAAGACAGACATTTCCTTTGTGTTCTTAATTGCATCACTGCATTCTGTATCATAGTTACCTTTCCTTTCTTCATGGGCAATAATGTTAGAAGGGAAGAATCAGAGAATACAGAGGTTTGAGGACTAAAAGTTTCCATTTAGGCCATCAACTCCAAACTCCTTATTTTACAAATGAAGAGATTGAGGCTTAAAGATGATACAAGAATGGCTCAGTGGTTTAAAATATGAAATTGGCAGATTAACATTTTGCTAAAGGATTTGACAGTTATTTTCAAATACCTGTTCCCCTAGAAAAGCAGACACCGCTGCTTCTGTTACTTAAAGTGGTGTCTTTTTTTCCTAGGGAGTTTCTCCAGTATGACAGGAAGTGATTTTTCCTAGTGCTATGAATAATCACCTCTATGCTTTGTCAGGCAGGCACTGCGGCTACAACACATGGAACAATACCCTAGTGCCCCAGCAGGGTTAATGAGCGCCCCAAGGCTACTAATTTATCATAAGGGAGTAGCTTAGAATTCAGGAAGATTAGATTCTTCTTTATTATATCTCCTCCGTCTTTTAAATTTTGTTAACCTAATGCCCTTAACATTTCCCACCATTATGCTTCTTTCCTTCTCCTTAAACCCATAGTCCTTACAGGAGCCATGCACGCTTTTATCACCTTCCTTAACCACAACCACTGCTTCATCACCTTCTGCCCATGTCAGAATTCCGCATAGCAGGGACTTTCCTTCTAGACAAATTCAAATATTTTCTTAATCTCCCTTTTGAATTCTATTGTCCTAGGAAACAAGTTTAACTATTGTCCCATTTCAATCCTTTGACTTCTATAGTTCTGAACATAAACTTTGTGATCATCCCTGTAATTATAGTTCCATCCACCTGTCCCTTTTCTGTGGGTGTTCCTAAATTTTAATCAGCTTCTTGCTCTTAGCAAATTTAACTATTTTGATGCCTTTAATCATCTTGTCAATGTTAATGACCCCCCAAATCTTGATCTTTAGTCCTGATGTCTCATGTACTTTCTAATCTTGTAATTCCAGCTGTTCTTTTAAATCTCTTGCCAAGTGCTAATTGATAAGTAAAAACAAACTTGTCATCACACTAACTAAATCATACTCATTCCCAAGACACCATTTAAAAAAAAAAAAACTATAAATTGTTTTATATGTCAAACATGTAGTAAATTTTGCTCTTACTTTAAAAATATATTTGAAGAATTAAAACATTTTATGCTTTTTCTGGGTTTTCTTAGTGAAAGCCTTTTTTTCTAGCCTGTTTGCCATCACCTGAGTCTATCCCTCCATCTGTCCCTCCATCCATCCTCCATCATTTCATTCTTCCAGACAAATTTTATAAATGGGCTGTATAAAAAAACCTCAGTGTCAATTTTCACTTGGTTAAATTTACCAAGTGGTTTTGAGCTCTTCTAACTGGTTGAATCACTAGTCCTCCCCTGTTTTACCCTCACTTCACTCTAATAAATCCAACATTGTGCTCCCAAGGTTGTGCTCTGTTAATAAAGGGTAAGAGTGTGGGATAAGTTTATCCTAAACCAGCTGCACTGAATCCTTTGTTTGTTCTTATTTGGGTTGGGAGCAACTCCCTAAAAAATAAAGAAGGTGGAGAAAAATGGCCCACCACAGTGACAGTTTATTTAAGAATGTCCTGATGCCAGGGTCATCCTCACTCTTAAGAAGCATTAACTCATAATCTCCAGTTGTCATTTCTAGATTCTGGCCAAAGAGTTACACAGCTTCTTGTCAACAGAGAACACTTGAGTGCCCTACTTAGAGAAGCCAGCTCCATGCCAAATACATGTATCATTCTGTGGGCTTTATAACTGCAGCCTCTTTGAAAAGCCAAGTGTGGATAATCATGTCAAAGAATAGGAATCTGTGTTGTAATCCTTAAGGAATGTTAGCAATCTATTATTTTTCTCCTTAATTTTTAAATCCTGTTGCTTCATAAGTTTACTGATTCTTTGACTCACAGATTCATTCATTTGGCAAATATTGTTGAGCTACTACTATTGGACGCCAAACACTTAGTTTGGTTCTGAGAATAAAATGTTAAATATGCTAGACCCAGACTCTGCCAGAAACAGAAATTACAAAGAAATTTGGGGAGCATCAAAATGAGAGAAGTATAGAGTACTGCACAGGCATGTGGCCTTGCTATCACGAGCTCCTTCCTTCTGCTACCTGTTGGCAATGAGATCTGCTTCTTGCTCTTCTTAACTTTTAAGATTGCTTAACTTTTCAAAGGCCCATTTCCTCAGATATAAATTCTGGTCAATATCAAGATCTGATTCAAATATTTATTATGTGAATTAAAATTTTACCAACTGTTTAGTACAGCATTTGATACACAGCAAATGTCATTAAATGTTAATTGCTATAGTAACAACTAATTTTGTCACAAACCATTTTATTATGTTGATTTTCACTTCTTAAAATTCTTTTTGCCTTATTTCTCAGGAGCTATATTTTTCACTTCTGATTCAGTCTAATGAGACAGATAGATATTAAACAAATCATCACAGGAAGAAGTACAGGATCACAAATGGTCTCAGCATCTTCATAAATACATTTAAAGAAAAAAATGTTATTTATCACAGCAAAAAACAATATGGCTTAAGTTATAAAATTGAAACAAACTACCCCCAATATCAACGAAATATTATGCTTCCTTCCAGAGCTCCAAATCCTAAAATAAGAAAAGAACAAAGATTAATCTTAAAATTTAGAATCTGTTTCTAATAGCCCTCTCCCTTGTTCTGTGAAGTAGCTGGCAAAATCTACTATTAATTACAGTTTTGTGATAGGCTACATTATATACATAGCAATTTAAATCAGTCACATCTTTCAGAATGCACGTTATGCTAGGTACTCAGTTAGCATTAGGAATATTCTTCTATTTTCAATCTAACCACATAAATCACAATATGGTGTTTCTGTGCTTTTTCAATGAAGGAAAGCAGGAACAGTAATAAATGCACTTATGATTTACTTCATTTATTTCTAGGTCTTAGTGCAGAGTGATCAAGGATGTGAACTCTGGAATCTCTCTTAGATGTGAGACTTGTGGCTACTTACTTATACTCTCAGAACCCAGGTTCTTCATTACTACAGTAAGGTTAGTAACAATATCTACCTCAAATGGTTAGAAGAGAATGTGGCACACGCTGAGAACCCAGACTCTAAGTTCAAACAAAGAAAAATGAACTATTTAAGCCTAATTTGCCTACAACTGGGGGTTTCACTGCAGGCAGACCTTTCTCTGAGTCTTGGGGACCAATGAAGAACTATATGACAAATAAAGGATCACGATAAGTCATACCTAAACTTTAATATTCTTGTTTACTCCCTTATTCTTTCTGTGTGAGCTCTATATAATATCTAAATGTCTTGCTTATCTTGTAAACCTTGCAACTTAATATGATGTTTGGCAAACAACAGAATTGTTGAATTGAATATTCATTAAGGCAGAAGAGATTTTTTAAATTTTAATGTTTGTCCTTACAAAAACAGTACCTATTGGAAATTTACAGATTGATTTAAAGAGAATTGGAAATTTCCAGTCTTATCTGTCACACAGATGGATTTTCATTTATGTGATATGTTATTTATGGTTGGAATTTATTCACTCTAACTACTCTAACATCACTTATGCACCCTTTACAAATAGCACTAGGATATGACATAGCCAGTTTCACTATGGACATAGTTATTGCCAACTGTTGTAATGTTGATATGGAAAAAGCAACTACTGTATTTAGCAACTGTTCCAGTAAAGCATTCCCCAGCTGTCTGGGAGTCGCAATCCATAGTCTTAAATAGATGTATCTGTCATCAGTTTTATTAGCTTCAAGCTATATGTGTCATCTGTTGGTTTTGGATGTGGAAACTGGTGTGGGCAAATGTTCTTCTCAAAATATGTATTTTAAAACACATGCAATTACTTGTGTATTAATATGATTCCACAAATTCAGAATCCACAAATAATTTGTTTTAATTATATAGTTCATTTATTATATTTTAATTTCATATTTCAGAGTCTACTCATGATAATTAGAAATGTAGAAGAGGTCTTTTTGCCCCACATCCTTCCTTAGTTGCCTCTGAGGGTATGCTTCCTGGAGATTTTCAGTGGAAGTATGGAAAGCCTTAAACTACTGGGGAATCTGTATTTCTGTCAAAATGAGAAATTAACGTATATGCAATCAATTTAATTTATTCAAAGCACTATAAACACAGATATGCTAACTTGAAATAAATATAGAAAACAAAATGGAAAATGAGGAGAAAAGTCATATTAAAATGATTTGACACAGGAAATGTAAGAAGGCACTAAGCTGTGAGCTCCTAGTTCACAAGAGCAATGACTCCCAGTTTAGTACTCCTTAGGGAAGAATAAGGAAAAGCAGTCAGGACCTGGGCAAGTCTTAGCTCTCAGTTAATCAAAGCAGCTCTGCATAAACCTGTTTTTTATTTTGGGAGAATATTCAGGCTTTAGAGAGACCACAGTCTCTAGGTCTTTGTTATTACTATTTTGTAATATGATAAATGATTGATCTAATTTGAAGACTCAGAGTTTCAATGTTAAAACAATATTTGTTCCCCTAGATTAGAGTACTGAGAGTAATTTTAAAGCTACAGAATAAAAAAAATTGTTTAGAAAATGCAGAGGCATACACAGTGACACCTACCTATTTCTATAGTCATCTCTAATTGTTTCAAGTCCAGGGCACAACACTGAAGTATGATCCTGTAAAATAATTACACATGGAGGTGCATTGATATGATATAGGTGTGTCATTTCTAGTGATCAACATGTAGTTTATAGATTTAGAAGAGTAATTAGAATAAAGTTTTATTTTATGTTAGTTTTATTATTTGAAGATTTATTTTATTAATGTTTTTATTGATTTTTGAAAAGACAATATATGCGATAAAATCTACAAAATGGATGGTAAAAGGTCTCTGTCTCCACTGTGTTCTTTAGTTTTTCTTAACACAGCCAATATTAACTAGATACTCATGTACCTTCCAGAGCTATGAAAGGAAACATTGGATATATTTCTACTTATGGGGTAAGAGGCATGCATGTATAAACAGTAAATGAGTGTTGGGTGAGTGATTTCAACAAGTATTTTAGTAGCTCAAAAGGACTAGAGAAGTTTTAGCTAGTTTGCTTAGGGAAGGCTGTGCAGGAGATCATATTTGAACTAATTTTGCAGTATATTGAAAGTTTTTGGACTTATAGGGAATTTAGAAATTTAAATTTTTCCCTCCAATGTTCAGATTTTATAGAGAATTGAGACATCAGACACAGATATGTGTCAGTTATATGCCTGATAAAACAATTAGAGAAAATGGTTTTTACTTTTACAGTAAAACAGTTTACAAATTCTCTCCCCTTCAAGTCCCTTTCCCAGCTTTGTTTTAGGACAGCCTCAGGAGCTATAAGTTGAGTCTACAGAGCAGATTGTCCCAGAAAGGACATCTTTTTTGAATCTAGGGCACAGAAACAAGGATAAAAGGGTAGGATTACCTATTATTTAATCTGGTTGAGAACACAGATGGATAGACGTTATATATTGTCATATAACTCATGTTCTATCTTTCATTAAGAATAAGAAAGAGGTGAGGCCAGGTGTATTCCTAAGACAGTGTTCCTTCTTTGTGGAAACATGAGATGAGCAGAAAGGAAATTCCTTAATCCTTCCTTACAAAAAATGCAGGCAATTTGCAGAAATCATTTAACAACAGACAGAAATTCTTCTGGGTCAAAAGCAAAATGAGTAAGACATGATTACCTAACTAGTAATAGTACTATCCAACCGTAGAAAAAAATGAACACAGATAAGTTATAAGGTCAAATCAAGGGCATAGAGATACAAATTTGCTAAATTGGAGAGAGAGACAGCCAACACACAGATGGGAGAGAGTGGTTGGTAAACACTTAACAGGTCAGGAGTGAGAAGAGGGGAAGCTGTAGTTTATACTGTCTGCTGATTTCTGTGATATAAATATACCTACTATTCCCTATAGTGGGTATATATAAATATACCCACTATACCCACTAGCTATCAACATGACATACCTGAACACAGAGCTGAGAAGAGATGTGCACAGTTGGTCTCATGAACAGATCCAAGCCAGTTCCAGCACACCCAGGGAGGAGGAAATACTGAAGTGTGAAGACTTGAGTGCTTTAGGAATGTTAGTGGTGTTTTTTGGCAGTAGGGTGGGTGTTTTAGTCAGCTTTTTCACTGCTGTGTCTCAAAGATCTGACAAGAACAATCAGAGGAGGAAAAGTTTATTTGGGGGCTCATAGTTTCAGAGGTCTCAGTCCATAGAAGGCTGACTCCATTCCTCTGGGGTATGAGGTGAGGCAGAACATCACTGTAGAAGAGTGTGGTAAAGCAAGGTGACTCGGGACATTGCAACATGAAACAGGGACCTACCTCCTCCAGCCATACCCTACCTGCTTTCAGTTACCACTCAGTTAATCCCTATCAGGAAATTAATTCAATGATTGTGTTAAGGTTCTCATAACCTAATCATTTCACACCTAAACCTTTTTGCATTGTCTCATACATAAGCTTCTGGGGGACACCTTATATCCAAACCATAACAGGTGGGACTGGTGCACCTCCATATAGGTCAGTGTTTCCAAAATACATCACGTTGAGACCTGAATGTTATAGGAAGATCACTTGGTAGCTATATTGGGTAATAACAGCCTCAATTCAGCCAGAACAGTTTCATTTTTTATCTGTTACCCTCTGCCTAAAAAAGTACCTAAAGCCACAGACTGGTTTTTGGTTTTGTCCTTGTTTATTATTGCATTTAAAGCACTATCCTAGAAAGTAGTGATCACTGTGTAATTTTTTTTTTAAATGACTTGCTTATAATACTAAAAAAAAAAAAGAAAGAAAGAAAAGGGAAAATATCCCCTGAAAAGAGGATATAATTATTTGACATATAGAGATTATTTATTCCTAGGAGTCTGAGAAAACTATGAAGCCACACATTTTCTGGTTATTCAAAGTTGAAAACAAAATACTGACCTGTTGTTGTAAATGCAAACTAAAGCCACTCTAAATACCTGTCTGGATGACCAGTTGGCTTCTTTACTGCATCTGTTATGCAAAATACAATTTACTATCAGCAACAGATGGAATATTGCTAATCCAAACACTTGAAATCCTAAATGCTCTAAAGTCTGAAACTTTTTGAGTGGTGACATGTGCCACAAAAGGAAAATTTCACACCTGATATGTGTTGGGTTGCAGTCAAAATATAAGGGCACAATGCACAGTTTACTTAGCATCCCTAAGAGAAAACAACAACAACAACAACAAAAAACCTCTCAGTCCCCTCAGCTGCTGCAAACTTTAATGTCCACAATTATTAAAAATGTCATGTAAAATTACATTCATTAAAAAACTTCTTTACAGCAAAGGAAACAATCAAGAACATGGAGAGAGAAAGCCTACAGAATGGAAGAAAATCTTTGCCACCTGAACTTCAGATAAAGCATTAATCTCCAGGATATATGAAGAACTCAAAAAATTAACAGCAAAAAAAAGCAAATAACCCAATCAATAAATTGGACAAAGGAACTGAACAGGTGCTTACAGAAGAAGAAATATAAATGGTTAACAAATATATGAAAAAAATGTTTAATATCTCTAGTATTTAAAGAAATGTAAATTAAAACTCACTCCAGTCAGAATGACAATTATCAAGAATACATGTAACAGTAAATGTTGGTAAGGATATAGGGAAAAATGTTCACTCATACATTGCTGATGGGACTGCAAATTGGTGTGACCAATCTGGACAACAGTATGAAGATTCCTTGGAATGGAATTTTTGCATTGTCTCACACATGAGCTTCTGGGGACACCTTATATCCAAACCATAACAGGTGGGACTGGTGAACCTCCATATAGGTCAGTGTTTCCAAAACACATCACGTTGAGACCTGAATATTATAGGAAGACCACTTGGTAGCTATTTGACCCATTATCCTTCTCCTTAGTTTATACCCAAAGGACTTAAAATGAACATATTATAGTGATGCTGCCACATCAATGTTTATAGCAGCTCAATTAACAATAACTAACCTATGAAACCAATGTAGGTGCCCTTCAACAGATGAATGGATAAAGAAAATGGATATATACACAATGCAATATTACTCAACCATAAAGAAGAAAAAAATTATGGCATTTCCTGGTAAATGAATGTAACTGGAGATTATCATGCTAAGTGAAATAAGTCAATCCCCAAAAACCAAAGGCTGAATATTCTCCCTGATAGATGGATACTAACACATAAAGTTCATTGTATTAGACAAAGGGGAATAAAGGGAAGGGAGGGATATGGGAATAGGAAAGACAGTAGAATGTATTGGACATAACTTTCCTATGTTCATGTATGAATACATGACCATTATAAATCATGTACAACTACAAAAATGGGATCCTAATTAGAATAAGTTATATTCCATGTATGTATAATATGTCAAAATATACTCTACTGTCATGTTTACCTAAAAAGAACAAATAAAGAATAAAATTAAAAATTTAAAAGAGATTACCTTCAGTATATGTATATTAGCCAGCCCTATGTAACACTTAAAAGAATTTCTTGTTTAGACTTGGAATCCCATCCCTAAGATATCTCATTATGTATATGCAAATACTACAAAATCTGAAAAAATCTGAAATCCAAAACACTTTTGATCTCAAACATTTTGGATAAGGGCTGCACAACCTAGAAATGCTAATGGCTCCAAGTGTCTATCTCTGGCTTAACTCTCTCTCTTCTTAGCCTTTAGAATCATTTTCCAATTGCCCATTGGATATCTTTTATGTTCAGCAGAGATTTATGCTTAATAAATCCAACACCAAGTTCATCCTGCCCTGTCCTGAAACACATACATTTCTGAATTCCCTGTCTCATGAATGGAATCACTTTCTGCCCAACCATGAAGAAGATAACACCAAGATAAACATGTGAATTATCCTAGAAGACGTCTCCCTCCCATAACTGCTGAGTATCAAATACTACCTGTTTATCCACACAATACTTGTCAAATAACTCCTATTTTCTCTTTCCTTATTTGTATGTCTTTAATTCAGGCTTTCAAGTTTGTATTGTAGTAATCTCCTTATTGTTTATATACATTTTTGCTATTTATTTCCAGGATTTTATGAGTTATTTTTACCAAATACAGTTTGTATAACATCACAGTCATTGATAACTGCTCAAGGTAAACACATGGACCTCAAAAATCCTATAAGGTATCTTGTCAGAATTTCACCTTATTGCCACAGTTTGTATGGTTCTTTATGCTCTGTTCCCAGCCTAGTATTTCAGTTTTCATCTGAAAATGCTTCCTCCAGCATAGTAAAGATGTTTTTTAAAAAAAAAAAAAACTGAGTCTGTCCCTTCTCAACCACAAGCTCAAGGCAGACATTGCAAATTACCCACGAACTTTTCACATGGAATAAGGATATAGCTTCAGAATTCTCATCAATCAGTCATAGATTTCAAGCAGCTACCTCATGGGAATTTGTTCATGAAATGCAGCATACTGTGTGTGGCAGACCATTTATACTTTATCTCACTTTTTACACCATAACCATACTTATAATTTCAGGAACACACTGAGTGTGTTTATGCCATCCTGCCTTTGAACATGTTGTTCCCATTACCTGAATTCTCTTCTCCTTTTCTACTTTCCTTTCCTGCTTTTCAGGTAAATTGATATTTTATCTTTCAATGTTTTTTTCTCATGTCTCACTTTTTCTTTGACATTTCCATGACTTTCTCTCGTACCTCTTCCACCCCAAGGAAACTAAACTCTTTCTCCTCTGTGCATTGTAATTGTTTATATGCTAACTACTTAACTAGACTATAAGGGAAATTTTGCTCAAAGAAAAAGTTTCAAAATGAACTCTATTTTCCTAGCACTTAATGTACTACTCCTTAGGGCACAGAAGTTCATAACAAATGATTCTAAAATTATTAAAATACAAAAAAGCATACTTAAAAACCTGCCACTAGCATATCCCTCTACACCCAATTCAGCTCCTCAGACCAATTAGTTTTAGATTTGTTAAAGAGGAGAACAAAAGCCAGTTCCAACTTCAATCCCTATGATGACTTTACCACCAGTTTAAAAAAAGATAAATAGTTCAGTACGTCCTACAATGAATTAAAAACTGGTTAATTACCAAAGCTTTCAAGCCCAAAAAGATGAGTGGAATCCAATCTGTCAATAAGACTGTCCTTGCTCAATAACAATAGGAACTAGTTAGAAATATAACCCTAAATCCCTTTATTCTTTCTTTTCATGTCTTTTTTAAAAAAGGTAACATGATATGGAAAACATTTTTAAATAAGAAAAAAATATATATGAATCCTGGGAAGGTTTTTCTACATATATATATTACATGTATGTATAATGCTATGTCAACATAGAATTTTCTCATAAACTTGAGAATTATAAAACATCATTCTGAGTATTTTATATAATTACTATTTTAATAGTGATGAGAAACATACATTTGAAAAACAATATGGGTACAATATGCTTTCCCTAATGTCTCCTCTCAGAATGTGACTAGTGTGCTTGGAGGAAATCCATGTAATGTTAGACCATAAAGTTGTCAACACAGCAAGAGGATTTTCCTCACCCAATTTAAGGTTGCCAGATAATTGGTTTAAACTTGGCTATGTGGACAAATGAAGAGCTCTATCCATATTCAGAATGATTATTGTCTTTGATTTCTTGTCCCACATCACTGACAACAATATTCTTAGATATTAACCAGTAACATATCCTATGTTTACATATATTACAATATGGACTTTCCCCATTTCTATTCTCCTTCTAAGACTCATACATTTGATTCTATATTATTCCCTCATTTCTTAAACCAAAAGTTGTGTTCATGAACCCCTAGAACTGTATGTAAAACATTATATATATGTGCACATTTCCTTGGGAAATGATGCAGTTTTATTAATTTTTAAAAAGATTTTATGTTAAAAAACATGAGTAACTGCTCCAATAAAAGTTGTCTTCCTCTCAGTATTCCCTCCTGAGTAATGTTCTTTTATTATCTGCTCTGTATGTACAACCTCTACAACTCTGAGAGTTCCATTTCCCATTTACAGTTGGATGATATCCTGACACAGAGCCAACAACTGTCATACACAAACTCACTCTTGGGTTCCAGATCTATATTTCCAAATGCTACTGAACTGA